TGTAGATTCTGGTTATTAACCCTTTATCTGTTGCATAGTTCGCAAATATTTTTCCCATTCTATCAGTTGCCTCTTCACTCTCCTGACTGTTTCTTTTGCAGTACAGAAATTTCTCAATTTGATGCAATCCCAATAGTTAATTTTGGCTTTGACTGCCTGTGTATATACCACATTTTCTTTATCCAGTCACCAGTCAATGGGCATCTGGGTTAATTCCATATCTTAGCTATTGTGAGTTGAGCTACAGTAAACATGAAGATACAGATAACACTTTCATGTGCTGATTTCTTTTTGTTTGGGTAAATTCCCAGGGGGTGATATTGCCTAGTCATATGGCATATTTATTGTCAGCTTTCTGAGGTATCTCCCTACTGTCTTCCACAATGGCTGCATTAGTTTATATTCCCACCAAGAGCGGATTAGTATACCTGTTTTCCCACATCCTCACCATCATTTAGTGTTTGTTGATCTCTGTATGAGAGTCATTCTAACAGGGATGAAATTAAACCTCATTGTGGTTTTGATTTGCATTTCCCTAATGGCTAGTGATCCTGAGCATTTTTTTAAAGATTTAATTATCTATTTGAAGGGCAGAATTACATAGAGAGAGAGAGGTCCTCCATCCACTTGATAATTCTGCAAATGGCTGCAATGGCCAGAGCTTTGCTGATCCAAAGCAAGGAGTCTGGAGCTTCTTCCGGTCTACCACTTGGTTCCAGGGGCCCAAGGACTTGAGCCATTCTCTACTGATTTCCTAGGACGTAGCAGAGAGCTACATCAGAAGTGGAGCAGCCAAGATGAGGACTGGTGCCCATATTGGATACTTGCACTGCAGGCTGTGGCTTTTCCCACTATGCCACAGCGCTGGCCCCCTGAGCATTTTTTCATGTGACTGTTGGCCCTTTGAATTTCCTCTGTTGAAAAATGCTCAAGTCCTTTTGTTCATTTCTTAACTGATTTGTTTGTTTTGTTGTTGTTGAGTTTCTTGAGCTCTTTATAGATTTTGGATATTAATCTTCTATCAGTTTCATAGTTGGCAAATATTTTCTCCCATTCTGTTTGTTACCTCTAAACTTTGCTAAGTGTTTCCTTTGCAGGGCAGAATCTTCATAGACTGCTGTAATCCCATTTGTCTATTTTTTCTTTTATTCCCTGTGCTTCTGGGTTCTTTTCAAAGAAGTCTGTACCTATGTCAATGTCTTGCAGAGTTTCTCTAATGTTCTCCACTAGTAATTTCATGATACCAGGTAATAGATTTAGATTCTTTATTCATTTTGAGTTTATTTCTGTATATGAGGTAAGGTAGGGCTCTTGTTTCATACTTCTGCATGTAGAGATCTGATTTTCCCATCACAATTTGTTGAAGAAACTATCCCTTCTCTAGGGATTGATTTTAGCTCTTTGGATAAATAGTCCATAGTGTATATTAGCTCTATTGCTTCTTTGTTGATTTTTCTGTCCACTTGATCTGTCAGTTGATGAAAGTGCAGTGTTGAATTCCCCTTTACTCTTGTATTAGAGTGTATGTCTTCCTTTAGATACATTAACATTTTTTTAATTAGCCAGGCACTGTGGTATTGGATGCATATACATTTAGTATAATTCCATCTTCCTGTTTCATTGAACCCTTATTCATTACATAATGCTCTTCTTTTTCTTTTCTCCATTAGAGTTTATCTCTCACTTAATTCTTTTTCTTTTTTTTTTTTTTTGACAGGTAGAGTTAGATAGTGAGAGAGAGAGAGAGAGAGAAAGGTCTTCCTTCCATTGGTTCACCCCACCCCCGATATGGCCGCTACAGCCGGCACGCTGCACTGATCCGAAGCCAGGAGCCAGGTGCTTCCTCCTGGTCTCCCATGCGGGTGCAGGGCCCAAGGACCTGGGCCATCCTCCACTGCCTTCCCAGGCCACAGCAGAGAGCTGGACTGGAAGAGGAGCAACTGGGACAGAACCGGCACCCAACCGCAACTAGAACCCGGAGTGCCGGTGCCGCATGTAAAGGATTAGCCTAGTGAGCTGCCGCACCGGCCTCTTACTTAATTCTAATGTTTGTTTTGAAAGATGAAGTTCACCAACATTAGGTTCATACACATTCACATTTTTCATGTATTATTGTTGAATTGATCCCTTGATCATCAGGTGAGGACCATCTTTGTGCTTTTTTATGCATTGTGTCTTAATATCTATTTTATCATATAGATAATTGCTTCTACTTGCTTTTTCCTCAATTTTGTGTTATATCTTTCTGCATCCCTTTCTTTTATGTGTGAGTCTTTACTACAGTGAAATAAATTTCATGTTGGCAGCATGTGATTGGGTCTTGCTTTCAATCCATTTTCTATACTTTTTAATTGGTGGATTTAGTCAAATCACGTTTATTATTCATTCATAATCTCTTAATCCTATCATTTTGCTGAACCTTCTTCTGTTTATTTTTAATATTTTGCTTTGTTTCTAGTGTGATTTACCTTCATATGTTTTTATGAAAGTTGATATTTTCTAGTGCTAATGTATGAAAGAATATCTTAAATATTTTATGAAAAGCTGGTGTGGTGGGGATGAATATTTCAGCTGTTGCATGTCTTAGTGTTTAATTTTCCTGTACTTTTGAAGGATAACTTCTCTGGGTAAAGTATTCTTGGATTGCAGTCATGTTCCTTCAGAAGCTAATATAACATTCCATTCTCTCCTGACCTGAAAATTTCTATGAAAATCTGCAGATCATCAAATAGGAATGCTCTACAAAGTGACCTAGGACCTTGCTAATACAAAGTTTAGAATACTCTTTTGAGAGTTTGCTTACAATGCATTATGGTGCGGCTTTTATTGGATCATGTCTATTTGGGGTCCAGTAAGTCTCCTGCAATTGGATGTCTCGAGCTCATGTTCCCACCTCTACCCCACCATGGCCAGAGTCCTGATTGCTGTGGTCGGAAGCTTGGAGGTGGTGGTGATGATAATCATCCCTTGCCTTCTTCGTTAATGAAGGCTGAGGCCATGTCTGATGCTTGGTTTCCCTGTAGCAGGAATGGTGCAGGATTTCAAGGTTATAGTCTGGAGTTTATTGTCTTTTCCTCACCCAGGGAAAGAGTGTCTCTACACTGAATTGCCTGAAGCTGGGAGAGGGATGATGGAACTTCTTCTTTTACTTCCTGTTTTCCATTGTGTCATTTCTTATTAATATACCAAAATTGACGCTGTAGTCTCCTGCATGGCTTCTGTGGCTGTTGTGGCAAAGGCTTGCTGTGTGAGTTGCTATTGTTGCCACTAGGAGAGATGGCCCGATAATCTTACTCAGTCATCAGTTTTCTCTGCCTCCTTGTTAGAGATTTTAGTTTAGTTGGAGGTTCTGTATCATCTGAATTTTGTCTCTTCCAGTAACTAGCTGGATTGCTTTGTTAATCACCTTCGTATTTGGCGTTCTAATTCTCAACTTCTGAGTTCTGTGTAATTTGCATTATTCTGCTTTGTTTGCTTCCTCCTCTTCTTCCTGCAGTGCCTCATCTAATGCAGCCGTCTTCTCTTCATGCTCTTCCTACATGTTTGTTCTCTTCCTATCTGCCCCCTCTTTCTCCTCTAGGCTTCTTATCTTCTAAGTCAAATATTTAGATTAATTTATTTCCTCGTCTTTCTGTTTTCTAATATATGCCTTCAAAGATATGAATGTGCCAGTAATTATTGCTGTGATCATTGTCCCACTGAATTTGCTACATCATGCTTTGAATATCAGTTTCAAACATTTCATCCATGTTGAGATACTTTATTTGGCTATTCTGATAAAGGGGGAATGTTTTGTTTTATGTATCTCAATTTTATTATCACTCTGAAAAAATAATTTATTTGAGAAGGGAAGAGAGAGAGAGAAAGAGAGAGAGAGAGAGAGAATATGAATCTTCCACTTCCATGTTTGTTGCTGAAAACCAAAATCAGCCAGAGGTAGGGCAGCCTGAACTCAGAACTCAACTTGGGTCTCCCATGTTGGGGACAAGAACCCAAGTACTTGAGTCATCAACAGCACTCTCCCTGGGTGCACATTAGCAGGAAGCTGAATTGGAATTGGAGTAGCCAGGACAACACAGTCCAATATGGGATGCTGGCATCTCAAGCAGCAACTTAGCCTCTGTGTCAGCCACTTACCTGTAAAGCCAGTTGCACATAGAATTTAACATAATTTGTTCATTCTATTCCCTCAATATAGAGTCCAGGTTTTTCTGTGTGTATTTAAACTCTGATGCAAACCAACTCCTCCTTCATTCTTGAAAAATTCTTCAAATCAGTCCTACTATAATGCAACACATGCATCCTCAAAAATCTTTGTGGTGCACAAAATTCCATAATGCTTATTGGAAATATGTTACTAGAGAAATGATCCTCAGAATCTGTTAAGTAAAAAACAGAAAACACTTCCATTTTACTCTATACCCTCAGCCTATGTGGGTGGACATGGGTAATCAGTCTTCTTAAGGTCCAGGATACTGTATTGTATCTCTTTACTTGTTCATATTTTTATTAATTCTGAGCAACAATTGTACACATGTGGACTATTCTAATTGCGTTTTTCCTTGTCCATGTATTTTGAGTAGATGTGATAAAGAATGAGGCAGTGAGCAGGAGAATTCATACAAAAATCCAATAAATCTAGAACCATAGTACTACAATTGGGTAATAGAGGACTAAATTATTGAAGATTTAACTGTTTTTCAGATAGAGGTTTAATTCCATTGGTAATTGCTGCTGATTGCATAGTACTATCCAGTTTTTAGGTTGTGTTTGGGGTTGACCTGCCAATCTATAAAGAAATAAATACATAAAATTCTTAGGCTTCTTTTTTCTTATGTCTTGCAGCTACATTCCCTGGAACCTTCACGAGCCAAAAAGAGGCGAATTTGACTTTTCCGGAAACCTGGACCTGAAGTATGTGGTGCTGATGGCCCTGGGGCTAGAGGAGGAGGCCAAGAGGTGGCTCCATGGGGCAGATGGGGAGCACTAGGCATGCCCTGCCTCTGTGTTGAGAGCCTTGCTCTCAGTACCCAGCATAGGATGCTCCCCTATCTTTACCTGTTCCCCCAGACGTCAGGGTCAATAGCTTCTGGGGTTCCTTCTGCACTGCAGACCAGAGGGGCCAATAACCAAGGGCCAATAAGGTGTGACCAACTGCTGCAATGAGCTCCACTCCCTTGGGAGGGGGCAGTGATGCCCTCTAGATTAGCAAGGCCATTGAGTCAAGATTACTGAAGTAACTCCCCACACTGGGCCTGATGCTCTTCCTCCTCACGACCCCGTGGTGCTATCTAGATATTCCCGAGGCTGGTAAGCAGTGGAAACCTAGCTGTCAGGATCTCGGGGCTCTGTCTTGAGTAAGGACACCCTACTCTGCTAGGGATCGGGCTGAGTTTTCTCTCACTTGTGTCCCTGGAAGAGAGAAAATGGGGAAGAGGCAGGCAGCTGCATCACCTGGCTCCCTCCTGTCCAGGTTCTATGCTCAATCATGGTGCTGAGTAGTTCTACCATCCTAGGGCCTTTGTGCGGATGGCAGAAGTGATTGGCCTATGGGTGATTCTGCGTCCAGGCCCCTACATCTGTGGTGAGATTGACCTTGGAGGCTTACCTAGGTAAGTTTGGTTCTGACACTAGGGTTGTGGATTAGTAAACTATTTTTCTTTCTCAAAAGCAAAATTTCACCCTAATTATAATGAGAACAGACTTCACCGATCAAGTACATGTGTCCAGCACTGGGTCATGGGGTTTAGGTGCAGTCTGTAGCAAGGGGTATGTGCCATTTTCATCCCCATTGCAAAGAAGGGAGTGGAGATGGTTGCCCCAGTTCACGAGTCTCAGGCCTTCCCAGGCTATGAGGGTGGAGGAGGGGCAGGTGATCTTTCATCTTTTCTCCCCACAGGCAGGTTGTACGTCCACCTTTGCTACTCTATTGCAGAGAGAAGAAAAGACCTAGAAGTTTTTAGCTTGCATGGAACAGTGTAATCACTCTGCTTTTTATTCTGTTGTTGCCATCTCCTCCACCCACTGATCCTCAGTCCATTCGCTTCTCACTTTCCTAGACTTGTTTGCTCATCTTTGTTGTTGCTTTTAAGCCCAGACTCCTGAAGATTGGATGAGATTTTGAGAATCCTGCTCTCTGACCTCTGCTATTGATGGGACTCCTGTTTTCACCTATACCTGTGCCTCCAATGAGGAGTTGTTATCCTCAGGCTCACAAAAAGTTTTGCTTTTCTATATGATTGGCAGCTTCTCCCATCCAGCTCAGGAGGAGAGAGCATTGGGGCCCGAGGGAGCTGGGAAGTTTAGGGAAGAGACCATTCCCTGTGCTGGTCAGCTGGGGAGCAGGCACTTCTCCAGTGACCAGGCGGGGAAGGGTTTGTGACTTATAGCACCCACCCAGCACTTTAAACCTTAGGTCTTAGGAGAAACATGACCCTGTCCACAAAGAACAGACACTGTACTCATGAAAATTGTTCTCAACATGCTGAAAAGAGAAGAAAAGAGCACTCAATGTATGAGAGAAAAAGCTTAGGAGACTTGGTTTATGCAGGCTCACGCCCTCAAGACAAATGAATCTCAGAGCTCTTCTGGGGTCATCAGAGGCTTTGTAGCTGCAGGGGATGGTTTCCTGTAAATCCTTCAGGCTGAGAGTAGTTGAAGATCAAGCTGTGTGTCACTGAAGGACCCTGAGTACAGCAGAATTCTGGGTGTGACCTGGATTCAGAGGTGATAGCTGATAAGGGGGCTCTGAGAAGGCACTGGGGGCCATGCTATGTGGCCACATGCACCTGTCTCCTCCTTCCTGTCTCTGCACTGAGCCTGCCCCTCCTACCTCCAGTTGGCTACTGCAGGACCGCAAGTCCCGACTGAGGACAACAGACAAAGGCTTTACTGAAGCAGTGGACAGGTATTTTGATCAGCTGGTTCCCAGAATGGCTCCTCTCCAGGTAAGGCCCAGGAGATGTTTCCTTCTCTCCCTCACTGTAGGGAACTAACTTGTTCTGGCCAAACCAAAAATAGGCCACATCCAGCGCAGGTGCTACATGAAGCTGACATTCCTGAACATTTAGATACTGCACCATCAGCTTTCGGTCAGCAGTTTTGATGTGCCCTCTCCTGTGGGTTTTCCCCAAGGGTGAATAAATGTTCTTGATGATGGAGATCACTCAAATGGAAGGCTCACATCACAGAGGACAGGAACTGCACCTAGTGTTGTCCCGGAGGCTGGCTCGCACTTCATATTCGCAAATGTGGTGAAACACATCAGACCTGGCTTCACTCTAATGTCACCTTTGTTGTTTCACAGTTAGCACAAAACTAACTGTAAGCTAACAGCTAGTAAACACCCTCAGAAGGCAGCAAACACTTGGTGGTGAAAGTCAGGTCTGCCTTCCCACCTGAGTAAAAGCCATGAATTTGTGCAGGACACAAAGAACTTGCTTAGACACTGCTGCACTGTGCAGGAAATTTCTAATACATATAGAATCAAGTTATAGATCTATATGCACAACACTGAGGATGATAATGTCTACAATGGTTCAGACTCTGGCTGTTGCTGGCAGGCAGAAGACAGTTCATGGCTTTCAGCAGACAGGGAGGTCCAGGGAATGTTTTCCCCAGAGGGACCTGAAGGTTCTGAAGGCATTAGCCAGGCCAAGCTGTTGGTCCCGATCCCAGTTGGAGAAGTAACAGACAGGAAGAGATGGAATGAGGTAGAAGCCCAGGACATGCCTGGGGTAGAGTGAAGAGGAAATTGCACTAAATGTGGTTTGAGAAGGGACCTTCCAAACACACTCTTTCTCCCCTGTGCCCCCTCCAGAGCCCAATCCTTTTGCTTGAAATAACCTATTGCTTCTGTGGTTGGCAGATTCTCTGTAAGCATTTATATCTGTGGGACTTTGTATTGAGAATGAAAATATCAGGATTTTGCTCCCAAGAGCTCTCTCTGCTGTCAGTGCCCAGAGGCTCCAAGGAGAAGGCGATGCACTGACAGTGGAAGGACTCTAGATGACTAACTCTGCAAAGTGCTTTAAACTGAGCACAGCTCCTCAATGGTGGCAGATAGGTGGCATGATGGTCTACAAGCTTTGCCAACGTGGCTTGAGGAACGATTACGAGTGGCAAAGAACGGGATGTGCATGAACATACCTGGTGACTTTGTAGGAACAGGACGATTGAGTGAACGAATCATGACTGGTGGGGCACATTCTGCAAATCTCTACCGTTTCACACTCTGATGTGCATGAGGACCCTGACTAAGTGTTCTTGATATTGGAGGCCACTCAAATGGAGAGAGAGATCAAGGACTCAGGTCAGGAGCTGTGCCAAGAGCCACGCTCCTGAGCTGGTGGTGAAAGCATTGGGATTCGGCACGTGACTGCATCACCCTATGTGAGAGCAGAGAGGAGGTGTGCCTCTTTAAATAACACATGGTGTCTCGACCCATTTTCTTTGACTACAAAAAAAATCTCTGAGTTCAAGTAATTCCTAGAGAATGACAGATTATTTGACTCTTAGTTCTAGGAAAGTCTCCAAGTATGGCCCCAGCACCTGCTCAGCATCTGGTTATGGAGCTTCTTAATACTGTGAAACCTGGTGGACGTCAAATTGTGAGACATTAGTGCCACCATTTGGACCATTAGTGGTGGCCACCCCATGAACTCATCCATTCGTAATTCACTCCCAATGCTTGCCCTCCTTCTTCTACTACTATTAGACTTGGAAACGGTTTCTAACACACGAATGTTTGGATGTGAATTAAGCTTTCGCAGGTTGGATCATGGGTAGCGTGGGTAAGGAGATGAGTTGTGGATTTGAGAGCTCTAATTCAAGTGATCGTTGGCGTGAGAAAAAGAGGGAGCCTGTGGCAGCTCTTACCCCCACACCACTAGGGATAGCCTGACTTCTGCATCTTGAGTGCCCAAGAGGATAGAGGCCAGATCTTTAGGGAACATGGCTCCACATGTCCACAACAGCAAACTCAGACACTCCAACTTTCAACCTTAGTAGCTTCATTTATCAATGACCATGTGCTTGTCTCTCAGTACCATCAGGGAGGTCCCGTCATTGCATTCCAAGTGGAGAACGAATATGGTGCATATAATAAGGACAAACACTACATGTCTTATATCCTAGAGGTAAGAACACTTGGTGGGTCTCCACATTTGCATGCTTTCTTCTTTAATCTATTTCCTTCTAGCACTTATTTCTGGTTTCTTCCCTCACTGATAAGAACACTGTGCATGATAAGAATATTTAACCTTAAGTTCAATTTCTCTGTGAATTTACAATATCATTAGGACATTCTGGATGTACTTAATTCTATGATGATAGAAAGAATGGAATGGGCTGGCACTGCGGCTCAATAGGCTAATCCTCTGCCTGTGGTGCCGGCACACTGGGTTCTAGTCCCAGTCAGGGCTCCAGTTCTGTCCTGGTTGCCCCTCTTCCAGGCCAGCTCTCTGCTGTGGCCCGGGAGTGCAGTGGAGGATGGCCCAAGTCCTTGGGTCCTGCACCTGCATGGGAGACCAGGAGAAGCACCTGGCTCATGGCTTCGGATCAGCGCAATGCGCCGGCCTCAGTGCACCGGCCACGGCAGCCATTGGAGGGTGAACCAACGGCAAAAGGAAGACCTTTCTCTCTGTCTCTCTCTCTCTCACTGTCCACTCTGCCTGTCAAAAAAAAAAAAAAAGAATGGAATGAAAATATCATTCCTTTCTGCTGGCTATTGCTATGATCCAGCATTCTCATTGAACTTGGGTATTGGTGAATGTACATTTACGGGATATGGTGATCTCTGACTTGATGATGGTGGTTACTAGCTTGTGGCCTTGAGACTTGTAGTCTCCTTTTGTTCTTCCCTAGATTAACATCTCAGATTTGGCAGTAACTACAGCCCTGTCTGTTGTCCTGTCTGATGTTGCAATCCCCTCCCTGTCCCTAAATTCCCACATTCAAGGGCTGAAAGGTTTCAGTCTCAACTGGATCCCTGATCAGTATAATGAACAGGATGAGGGGCGTCATCTGGTCTGACCCATTGGCCTGCCCTGCCACATTAGCTTTGTACACCAGGAGAACTTGAGTGAAAGACCTGGATAGAGTGGGTGTGGATCTCACTAGCTGGGCACACAAGAGGTGGAAAGCACAGGGTGTGGCTCCATGGAGGTGCTGGCTTCTGCCTGGCAGCTGTCCCTTGTGGAACTGGACAAAGTGTTTCTACTTTGCTTATGGCTGACATAGATCCCTCATGCTTTGAATGCAGGTACCATTATTTTTTCCTCAATTAACATTAAAAATTCTTTAATAAAATTTGTAATTTTTTATTTTTTTACTGATATATAACCATTGTGCATATTCCAGTGATGTTCTGTCATACTTTGATACACACATACAATGTGTCATGCTCAAATCAAGATAAACAAATCTTTCTCCTCAAATATGTGTCATTTCTTTATGGTGAACACACTCAAATGCCTGTCTCCTGGCATTTCATTTTTAATTATTACCTTTGTCTATATTACCTTATAATTACCCTTGTCTATAGTCACCTTATTTCACAATAGAAGATCAGAATTTCTTTATCCCAATCATTACTTGGTGTCCATTAATCAGTCTTCCAATTCCCTCCTACACTACTCTCCTCAGTTTCTGGTAACCACCATTCTATCATCAGCTTCTTTGAGATCAATTATGTTAAATTACATACATGAGGGAAATCATGAGATATTTGACTTCCTGTGCCGGATTTATTTCACTAACATGATGCCCTCAGCCACTTGACTGTCTCTTTTGCTGAGATATGCCTCAAGAAAGAGACCGACAGGAAGGACCCTTGGCTCTCTGGCCATCTTTCCAATGAACTTCCAATTAAATACGCATTTCCTTAAGACATGGCAGGTTTCCTTGTTTCCCTGGTCGGGTCCAGGTAAGTTGCAAACACTGCAATGCTGACCTCTGCTCCACAGCCTCAATCTCCCCTTAAAGCACAAAAGGTTTCCTAGATTTCCTCTCCTTCCCTCTCTTTATCTTATAGCCACATTCAGGTGTTTCCTGAAAAACTCTGCTCTATTTTCCCATGGGGATATTAATTATGTGGTATCACATCCCACATTTATCTGTTTTGGCAGCCAACCCCGTGGAACAACACCAGGATGACACAACAAAGTGAGTCTCTCAGCCTCTTAATTTGAAGCATTCAGACTCTGAATTCACTAAAATTTAACTCATTCGCACCACTTGAATCCAGCTGTGTTCACCTCCCAATTTCCTTACTTGCTTATCTTCCCACGGGTGCAAGGAAAGAGGACTCATTTTATTCTTTTTTTCACTTTTTTCTCAAACAGGGCCTGCTAAAAAGAGGGATTGTGGAGCTTCTATTGACGTCTGATTTTCTGGGTCATTCAACAAAAGGCTACGTTAAAGGAGGTACAAGTTTTGAGCTATTTGAATAGAAAGCCAAGGCTTTTCCAGCTGTTGTAAAGTTTGAACAGCCCAAGTGTCTGTGTTATGTCTTTCTCCCATGCCCACGCTAATGGAGTCCATAGACTTGTATTATGGCAGATGAGCATCAGGGTAGTAACTCAAAGTTCCTGCCCAGATTTTGTGGTTTTTCCTCACTGCTGTTTTATGTAACACAGAAAAATGGAGTTCCTCACCCTCAGCACACCCTTCCATCTTTTACAATTCTTGTAAATTTAGGAATTTTGTTTAATGCTGGGCAGAGTTTAGCAACCTGGCAATCCCAATAATATGGGAACCAGAAGATAGGTGAGAAAGGAATCCAGCCTCGGCTGTGATGCTACAGCCCAAGGCTAAATGTAGACATTTTTGAATGAAGTAACAGGAAAATTCAGGATAGAATTGTAAAGTGGCAGTGGTAGTCATAAGAGAAATGAGCAAGATACGAGTGGGCAGGTGGGGCTTCATCCCATCCATGATGGTATTTGTCACATTGCTTCAGTAGACATATCTTTCTCTACAGCATTGGCCACCGTCAATATAAGAAAACCTGGTAGGAAACTTTCAAAAGAGCTGTCTCAATTACAGGTAAGATATCTTAGAGATGAAGTTGTTTCCCTCTTCCACAACTTCCATCACCTGTGAATCTTGTGTCAAGACTGTCCCTGACAGCGTTCCAAGCCATTTTTGGAGCGTGTTGTGCCCTCTCTCAGCCTCTTTAATTTAAGCATTCAGACTCTGAGCCTGAGCAAGAAATCTGCCTAGGGATCAAATTATGGAAATGATTGTGAGCAGAGTAAAGGTTCAAAGTTGTAAAAACTTGCTGGAGAATCAGTGACAGAAAATGGTCTCTTTGTGAGGACAGAGCTCAGAAATGGATTCCATGTGTTGTGTAACAAGAATAAAGATGTTTTGGCGATGTTGGCTTTTTTCAGCCAAACTGTGAATCATGAGAATGAGAATTGTTTATTAATATAGTTAACAGAGAGGAATCGAGTAGTTTCTACGTTTCTACTTTCCTCTCAGTGGCTGCCCTCATTCAAAAATTCACAGTGGACTAAGCATGGTCCGTGTCATAGGCAGCATATCCTTTCCTCCTGGATTGCCAGGTGCCACTCGAAAGACCAAATGTTGATCATTGTTTTTCACTCCATCTGTTTTATGTTACACAGAAAAATGGAATTTCTCATCCTCAGCACACCCTTCCATCTTTTATAATTCTTGTAAATTTAGGAATTTTGTTTAATGCTGGGCAGAGTTTAACAAACTGGCAATCCCAATAACATGGGAACCAGAAGATAGGTGAGAAAGGAATCCAGCCTCGGCTGCGATGCTACAGCCCAAGGCTAACATGCCTAACCACGGGCCTGCCATAACATCGGAATCCATTGCTGAGTCTTACTAGGCCTGTGGTGACTGCAACCTTGCCTCCATTTCCAGTCACAGTGCCAATGCCCCTCGCTCCAGGCCAGGAGCCTTCCCTCCATTCCTGCACACGTGTGGCCAGTGCCTCTAACTCCTTTGTTCTCTTTTGAGCTTTTCCCACTCCTTCATAAGTTTTAAGCACAGAGAAAATGAAAATTGCTTCTTTTTCCTATCAAAGTCTGCACATTTTCCAACCTAGCAAAAAGAATTCCCCCCAAATTCTGGTTCTGCCACAGGTTTTTTCATGCCTTCATAAATCTTTGTTTTATTTCTTTTTTTTTTTCCTTGTAACTTACTTTTAAGATCTTCATTGAAACTGAATTTACACACTATTGAATTCACCCACTGTAAGAATACAATTCGATCTACAGAGTCCAATATGAGCATCTTCCCCATGTTCCATTGCAGTAATTCTCTCACTGTTAACTTCAACTGTAGGCAACCATTGATACTCTATAAATGTGATCTCCGGGATATGTCCTGTAAATGGAATCATACACTCTCTAGTATTTTGCATCTGTCTTTTTTCTGAAGGATGAGGTGTTTGAGGTCCATGCGTGCTGTAGCATGAATCACTACTTCATCTTTCTTGACTGCGTTTTGGATCATGCTTTCTACCCCTATAAACAAAGAAAGAGCCACCACACCCGACGTCTTAGATCTTGTCTCATGTTGCTCTTCTTTAGTATGTTTACATAGTTATTATAATATATGAATATTTTAAAATTTACTTTTGATTAAAATGTAATGATATATATATACAGTGTACTATGATATGTTTTAGTACATGCATCCTTTGTGTAATTAGTATATTAAAGTAAATAGCATATTCCCTTAAGTATTTATAGCTATTTTTTGGTAAGAACATGGAAAACATTGCTTCTGGCTATTTATAAATGTAAGATGTATCACTTCACTGTGTGGTGGAACATCAGAACTCCATCCTCCTGAATGTAATAGTCTCCCCCTGGTTTAACCTCTTCCCATCCCCCCTTTCTGTCTTCCCTCCTTTGATAACTGCTCATTCGTTCTTCACTTCTATGACATCAGCTTGTTTAGAGTACAGTATGGTTGAGAACATGCAATATTCGCCTCTCCAGGCCTGGCTTATTTCACCTAAAATAAAGTCCTTTAAGTCTATCTATGTTGTTTCAAATGACAGGATTTCACTCTTCTTTGTGAATAGTATTCTTGTGCCTATACCACAGTTTTTGTAGCTTCATTCAACTCTTGCTGTGAAATTAGGTCGATTCCATATTTTGTCTACAGTGAAGAGTGTTGCATTAAATATGTGAGTGCAGATGTCTTGTATACAAATTGATTGAATTTCTTTGGAAACATATCCAGTAGTGGATTTGCTGACTCACAGGCAGTTCTGTTTTTGATTTTTTAACAATGTTAAATTTTTATACCAAATATTTTGGCAACTTATATGAAATACACTTTTATTTCAAAAACAAATTCAGGAAAATCACATGGAAGGAAAAATAATTTTGAAAAGTCTGTATGTAGTTAGTGAAATAAGTTTTTCTTTAAAATCTATGCCCAGAAGTACTAAATAGTTTGGTAAATATTACTAAACAATTTAAGGAGAAATAATGATATCTTGTTTCAGAAAGTAAGTATCAAATGCATTTCAATTCATTTTAAATGAGCAGAACATAACCCTGATATCAAAACTTAATGAATACAAGCAACAAGGCTACAAAAAAATAACTAATAAAGATTTTAAAAAAATCTCTTAACTAAATATATAGCAAATCTAATCCAGAAAAAAACTAAAAATAAAATATAAATCACTAGATTTCTCTTTCCATATTTTTATTTTTTATTTTTAAAGATTATTTATTTATTTATTTGAGAAGTAGAGTTACAGACAGTGAAAGGTAGAGACAGAGAGAAAGGTCTTCTGTCTGCTGCTTCACTCCCTAAATGGCCTCAACGGCCAGAGCTGCACCGATGTGAAGCCAGGAGCCAGGTGCTTCTTCCCAGATTTCCATGTGGGTGCAGAGGCCCAAGGTCTTGGGCCATCTTCTACTGCTTTCCCAGACCACAGCAGAGAGCTGGATCAGAAGAGGAGCAGCCAGGACAAGAACTGGCGCTCATATGGGATGCTGGCGCTTCAGTCAGAGGATTAATCTACTGTGCCATGGCACCAGCCCTATCTTTCCATTTTTTAAAAGATTTATTTATTTATTTGAAAGGCAGAGTTAGAAAGGGGCAGAGAGAGAGAAAGAGAGAGAGAAAAAGAGAGAGAGAGAGAAAGGTCTTCTATCCACAGGTTCATTCCCCAGACGGCTGCAAATGGCCAGAGCTGTCTCAATCCAAAGCCAGGATCCAAAAGCTTCTTCCGGGTCTCTCATGACGGTGCAGGGGCCCAAGGCCTTGGACCAGCTTCTACCGCTTTCCCAGGCCATAGCAGAGAGTTGGATCGGAAGTGGAGCAGCTGGGACTCGAACCTGTGCCCATATGGGATACTGGCACTGCAGACCAAGGCTTTAACCAGCTGCACTACAGTGCCGGCCCTGTTCTCTTTCCATTTAATGCATTCAATATACAGTTGACATTTTAGATATTTTCATGATGGTAGTTATTATCCCGTTGTTTACAACAGAGAACTTCCTCATGCATTTCTGGTAGGCCTGGTCTAGGGTGATGAGTACCTTCAGGTTTTGCTTGCCATAGAAAGCCTGGTTTTATTCCCTCGACTTTGATGGGTATCATTGCTGGCTATGCTGTTAGATGTCAGTTTTCCTCTTTTAGGATTATGAGCATCAGATCCTTCGCTCGGTCTGTAAATCTGCTGAGAAGTGTTTCAATGATCTAACAAAGATTCCCCCTAATTGACAAGTCACATTGCTCTTACTGTTTTGCAGTTCTCTATTTGCTCTGTATTCTTTGACCGTTTGACTAGAATATGTCTTGAAGAGCACCTTTGGGGCTTGAATTTATAAGTAATCTTTTGACCATCCTATACCTGGAAGCTCATATTTTCCCCCATTCCAGCAATTATGTCATTAAGTAAGCTTTTCCCTTCTCCATTCAGAAACTCCCATAATGAGAATTTTTAGCTCCTTGCTGATACCCTAGGTGGTTTCAAGGCATTCTTCATTTTTAAATTTTAAAAAATCTGGTTGGATGATTTCAAAACACCAGTCTTCAAATTCAGAAGTTTTTCTGATGGCTCACCTCTGCTATTGTGGGTTCGTTTATTTAGTTTTTAGTGCCAATATTTTGGACTAATTCTTTCTTCAATTTCTAATTCTTTCAATCTATTTCCTGGTTAATATTATTAAGATATTTGTCTGAATTCTCTTGGGTGTCCCTGATATCCCATAAAATCCTTCTTAAAAATTATTTGTAAAGTAATTCCTTGTTCTCTGTTTCCTTGTGGTCTTCTGATGGAGTTATCGGGTTCCTTTGTAGAAATCATGTTTCACTTATTTTTATGATGGTTTTTGTGGCAGTTCTGGGCAGAGTGCACTTGGCTATGGGAGTGGAGCAATACTCAGTTTCTGCAGATTGTGTGGGCAAGAGACCACTGCCGTAGGCTCAGGGGTTTGTGACATATTGTGCCTGGTGATGTGACAGTGTGTCTTGTCAGTGTCTGAGTCCCACTGGGGAATGGACGCACCAGGATGCCCTCATGGAGCACCTTGCCATGTTTGAGGGTTGCATGAGTAACATTACGGGGCCTCTAGGGGCATATCTGCTCTAGGAGGCCTTCTGCCAAGCTGCTTCCTGGGGCAAAGGGAGGGTTTGTAGAGCTGACTGCTGTCCAAGACATAGATAGTATTTCTGAGAATGGGCTGCTTGGTTTCTTCTCATAAAATGTTTAAAAAAAATTCATTTTATTTGTGAGGGGAAAAGAGAGAGACAGAGATAGATATGTTTAATCTACAGACTCACACCCCAAATCTCTGCAGCATCCATGGCCTCCCTCTGTATCTCCCACGTGGGCAATGGGAAACCAATTATCAGAGCAACCATCACTACCCACCAGGTGCACCTAGGCTCTCAGTTTGTGCAGGTGATGGTTTCATTATAACTTCACTAGAATACATTGACCCACCCAATAGAAAGCTTTTTTATGTTTTACCTCTAATTTATTTTCAGATTTTAAAAGAGAGACAGAGGTTGCTATTTAGCAGAAGGGTTAAGGTATGTCCCATACCAGAGTGCTGAGTTCAAGCCTCATCTTCATTCCTGACTCCAGTTTACTGAGGATGTGCACCATGGGGGCAAACAGGTGGTGGCACAAGTAGTTGGGCCCTTGCTACCCATCTGGGAGATCTGAATTGAACTCCTGTCTCCCAGTTCTACTTGGCCTAGCCACTGGCATCTGTGGAGTGAGCCAGTGGAAGATATCTCTGTTTGTGTCTGTGTCTGGTTTTTCTCTCCTCCTCTGCCTCTCAAATAAATAAATTAAATGCATACATGAATAACATTTCCAAAACAGACACTTTAATTGCGTTTTAAATCACTTTTATTCTTTTTCATTGTTACTTATCATTGATCTAGGTGAATTTGAGTTGCTTCAAGTATATATGAGATGTTCCTATGACACACAGCATGTGACTACTCTGGAATAATAATAGGTCTTAGTGGCACACAGTTGTATGCAGAGAAAAATTCTTGTCTTTACTCAGTTTTTTTCCCGTTATCCATCCTCCCAGGGTTCCTGGCTCTCAGATCCCTCAACATTCTTAATTCTTGTATGTGCTTCAGTAATTCCTTGCTTCCAAACTTCTGATTCATTGAATTATGCAAAACACATGCCTTTTTATCAACTTGTGTGCGTTATGCAATAATTAGAAAAAGAAATTTTTGGTATTGCACTATGGGGCTATACTTCTTCCTGGGAAGAAATCTATGATGTCACAAAACTCTTCAGCAAAGCGCATCATATATTTATATTTTTGAAGCCATTGTTGGACATTTAATCCATTGGTACCTCTTTGTCTTCATTTTGAAGTTTCAAATACCTCTCAGATTTGGGGGAAATATTATGTGTGTGTACATTTCTCATTCCTCATTTTGGCATGAAGGATTTCCAAGATGAAACTATCAAGCCCACCAATAGCAAACCCTGAATTTAACACCATAAGCCCATCTTGCTATTAAACACAAATGGAAAATCACAGAATTTCATTTGTTTAATAAAATTTCCCCAAAAATATTTAAACTATCAATAAAGGAAAAAAGGAGAGCAGGGAATATTGAGTTAATTCTGGAAACAGAGTATGAAATCCAAAAGACTTATTAATATGTACAGAAATATGAATAAATTTTTTCATGCATGAAACAAGAGTGGAATATTGATAAAAAGATAACCATGGAACCAAAAGATCCTTTGAAACTAAAATACAATATTTGAAATTAAAAATTTAATATAAGAGTTGGAAAAAGGGGCCAGTGCTGTGACCTAGCAAGTTAAGCTGCCATGTACAGTGCAAGCATTCATATGGGTTCTGGTTCAAGTCCTGGCTATTCCACTTCTGATCCAGCTTCCTGCTAATGTGCCTGGGAAAGCAGCAGAAGACAAAAAAACAAGTACTTGGGCCTCTGGACCAAAGTGGTAGACCCAGATGAATATCCTGGTTTCTGGCTTCAGCCAAGCCCAGCCCTGGCTGTTGTGTCCATTTGAGGATTGAACCAGCAGATGGAAGACTCTCTCTCTCTCTCTCTCTCTCTCTCTCTCTCTCAAAGAATCCAGGAGAAAGTAAATTATAAATAATGTAAGAATTCCCTTAATATGTCCATTGATGATATTCCTCCAATGCCAGCACAGGAAATGATAAAAAGTCTTGCAACCCAGAGAGAAAATCACCATCCTTACACAAAGAGCAACAGTAAACAGAATCGTATAGGATCGCAAAACACTGACTTAGTAATAGCAAGCAGTGGAACACAGCCTTGAAATGTGATGGTAAACGCATTCTAACTTAGAATTTTTTAACCAGCCCAAATGTTAATCAAATGTATTGATAGACTAAAGATATTTTCTGACATATATTTTCCATGTGCCTTCCTAATGAAAATGTCTGAAGAATGCAGGAAATGAGAACCTAAATGAAGACTGAAGAAGACCGTGTGTTCAGAAACTCTCGTGTCCAGCCCCGAATATTAGGTGCTCAGGCTTAGAGTGTGACCATTGGGATCATGGAAGACTATGAGAATGCACTCTGTTAATGCCTAACTAGTCTCCTAAGAGTAGCTCAGCTGTAATCTTTCAGGATTAATCCACAGTGACAGCTACCCCTTGGGGAAACGTCACCTGTTACCAAGGAAACCTTCATTATTACACAACCTTGGCCATGCTAGACTAGAAGTGAAATGTACGCATCAGGTGGAAAGCATGTGGCTTCTGATAGTTTTGGTAACCATAGGAGAACCTGAAAATAAGTATCTTTATATTTGGGTAAGAGTCAGTATAGACAATTTGAGAAAAGTTTTACTTTGGTATATTAACTCCTAGTTTTAGATAATAAGATATTTGCAATCCAAATGCAACAGAGTGATAGTTAAGAGGATGGATTCTGCAACCAAACTGGCAAGTTCGAATCCCAATGAATTTGGACAGTTTTCCCCAGTGGAGACTCACAGCATCCACCTGCTGCTACCGTTACATAGAACAAGTTCAATCAGTACCCGGCTTAAAATAAAAGATGAATAATTACCAGGTACTTAATTTTTTTACTAATAAAAATTTCTAATCCATAAAGATGTTATGACATGCATGAAATTTTATATACCATGTTGTTTACTAAAAAAATTACAAATAAGATTATGAAATAAAGAAATGAATAGAAACACAATCTCAAAGGACACTTCAACACACATGAGGTATAAGAAAATTGAAGAAATTTATAGAGAAAATGGACCATATATTGACTGAATAGACCATAGGACTACTAGCTAATCATGATGTGCAGACCTGCATTTGAGTGATGGCACTGTGCTCACCACAGTGATCAATGATGATCTCTGATACTCGCTGTCCACGTAAGGATCTACGGGCAGATTTCTTTGCATCCAGAGCTGATTCTTTCAGTGCTGGTCAGGGATAACAGTAGGTTGGAATCATGGGTGCTGCCTTCCATGTACTGCAAGAGGCACATGAAACTGGAAGGACTTGGGAGACCCTGTGGAGTAAAGGAGCCAAAGCTATTGAAAATGGCTTACAACTAATGGGGGTGGGGAGTGGAAAATCATGGATCAGAAAGAAAAATCTTTAATCTGGACAAACGTGGAAAGCATGAGATCCTCATGTTCTCACCTGTTGCAATCGGGACTTATGATGTTTCGGTTCAGTTTTTACAGTTATGTTTGATTTTATTTGTTTCCAGGGAAATAAACCCATTCTGGTTATGGAACTCTGGATTGGCTGGTACGACTACTGGGGTGCAGAGAAACACTTTGTTAGAAACACACGTGGTAAGTGTTGAACAGTGCTGCACACCAAGGAACAGTGGTTCTGCATCATGGAGAATTTGCATGGTTGTCTGCTAATTAGCTCATTCAGATGCAAACATTCACTTAATCCTGTTAGGTCCATGCTTTCCGACAGGCCCTGAAGATGCAAAAGTAAATAAGAATTCTGTCATTTCTATCCTGAAAGCAAGCTCATAATTTAATGGATCTGGCAGACCTTTGAAAAGCAATAGTCACTACTTAATTGCACCTTTGGGGGTTTTCTCTGAAGACAAGCAGGGAGCAGTGACAGTGATGATATGACAGACTTGCATGGAAGAAGTGAGGACACAAAGGTTCTCCGTGAAGCTGAAGTTGAAAAGGAAGACAGTGCCTTTCCTGTGTCTTAATCATCTCGAAGTCATCAAGCCTTTCTATAGAGTTGTGATCGAAGGGTAAAAATGATTAGGAGACAACAGTGATTCGCTGGGAGCCTGGACCCTGGAACCAGAGGGGAGGGTGTCTATCCTTGCTTTCTCTGTTCACTTTTTTTTGATGTTAAAAATATATCTGAATTTTAATTTATTTTTTTTTACAATTCAGGTTTCTTTTTTTCTGTTCTTTTTAAAACTTTTATTTAATAAATATAAATTTCCAAAATACAGCTTATGGATTACAATGGCTTTCCCCCCCATAACTTCCCTCCCACCTGCAACCTCCCCTCTCCTGCTCCCTCTCCCCTTCCATTCACATCAAGATTCATTTTCTATTCTCTTTATATACAGAAGATCAGTTTAGTATATATTAAGTAAAGATTTCAATAGTTTGCACCAACACAGAACCATAAGGTGTAAAATACTGTTTCAGTACTAGTTATAGCATTAATTCACATTGAACAACTCATTAAGGACAGAGATCCTACATGAGGAGTAAGTGCACAGTGACTCCTGTTGTTGACTTAACAAATTGACACTCTTGTTTATGGCATCAGTAATCTCCCTAGGCTCTTGTCATGAGTTGCCAAGGCTATGGAAGCCTTTTGAGTTCACTGACTCCAATCTTATTTAGACAAGGTCATAGTCATAGTGGAGGTTCTCTCCTCCCCTCAGAGAAAGATACCTCCTTATTTGATGGCTCATTCTTTCCACTGGGATCTAACTCACAGAGAACTTTCATTTAGGTTATTGCTATTTAGGTTATTGCTATTACCACCAATAGCAACCATGCCAACTACAATCACACCACCACTGCCACTACCACCAGCGAAAGCAACACAATTCCAACTGCAAGAACATCACTACTGCCAATGATAAGGGCGTCATAATAACAAAGACATCAGATACAAAAACACGAATAAGCCAGCGCCGCGGCTCACTAGGCTAATCCTCCACCTTGCGGCACCAGCACACCGGGTTCTAGTCCCGGTCGGGGTGCTGGATTCTGTCCCGGTTGCTCCTCTTCCAGGCCAGCTCTCTGCTGTGGCCAAGGAGTGCAGTGGAGGATGGCCCAACTACTTGGGCCCTGCACCCCATGGGAGACCAGGAGAAGCACCTGGCTCCTGGCTTCGGATCAGCGCGGTGCGCCGGCCGCAGCGCACTGGCCGCGGCGGCCATTGGAGGGTGAACCAACGGCAAAGGAAGACCTTTCTCTCTGTCTCTCTTTCTCTCACTGTCCACTCTGCCTGTCAAAAAAAAAAAAAAAAACATGAATAACAACTACAGGGACAGCTTCAATATCACCACTATCAGCACCAATAAAAACACCACTAAGAATACTGACGTCCATCTCACCACCTTCATCAACAAAAATGCCAACCACAGCAACACCAACACCAGTAACAATAACAATACTACTAATGTCATCAATAACAATAGCACCAAGACCAAGATCACAATCACCGATGCCACCACCAACAACAACAAATGATATCAGCCTCAATAAAACCACTACCAATGCCAGAAACAATAAATATCAGCACCAACCCGATAATAGTTCACAATCAACACAATAATAACAGCAGCTACAATACCAACATAACAAAGCAATAGTTTTCTGATCATTTCTATGTCAGGCATTGTAATATGTTTTTATATATATAATATATATAACATGTTTATAATATATAATATATACAATATATTATATGTATGTGTAATATACATATGTATATGTAATATGTATACATATTATATATTATATACATATAATATACATATTCTATATATAAGCACACACATATATAGCCTCTTCCATTAATTTTCTCATCATTCCTGTGAGTTAGAAGGAATCAGTCCACACATTTAACAAATTAGGAATCAAAAGCCTTGAGAAAGGAAATAGGTCATTTAATGTCATAGTCATAGAAATAGTAGAGAGTGCAGTTAATATTGAATCTACCTCTGACTGAATTTGACACTTCTGCTATTTTTAGACTTTGGTTTTCTATTCTTCATCTATATTTTTATAATTTTAAGTATTTTTGCTTTTATGTTTAAATGAATAGAACAAATTTCGTGTATTACATATAAACAGTTTTAAGAGCATAGTAATACTGTGACCAGTAGAAAGACTTATTATCTGCTAAAACATAGAGGTGAAAAGAGAGTTTTGTGACTAAAGTTTGACAACAGCAAGGTATGGACATTAGCAGTGATTCAAAGTCATTTTTCCCAGAGACAGTCTCCTAGCAGTTGGCAATGGGTTTGTGCAAGACATTTGTACATTTTTTAAAAACGTTAATGAAAATTAAATATTTCAGAAACGTAAGAATCCTTAGCCTGTCATTTAATAATTATCACTAGGCGTCAAAGAATGTCAATCTATGCACAAAAAAGGTTTGCAAGATTGTTGGTATTGTTAGAATGGTTTCATAGAGCAGTTCTGGCAAATTTCTCATTTTCTAGTTAGAATCTTAATGCAGGTATATTGAAAAACATTAGCTGATTTGGGCATGTGCTTCAAATGACAAGAATTCAAATGAGACTTCTCCTATTAATTCTAGTTCTGTGTTCTCACTTTCTTCTTCCACAGACGTTGAACATACTGTGTCTGAATTTATCCAATACAACATATCCTTCAATGCATATATGTTCCACGGAGGGACCAACTTCGGTTTCATGAACGGGGCTGTATACGACAGTGACATACACAAGAGTGTTGTCACTAGCTATGGCAAGTGTTTCCACACCTCCACAGCTCTACTGGGATTGCAATGGTATTGAAAAAACTCTCTGAAAGTATTCTGGAATCCTTGGGTCAAAGTCTATGCCCTGTGCTGAGTGTTGAGCACATCCTTGTCTACACTCTGTTTTCTGTGATGCTCATAATGTCCCATCTGGCTGTCATCGCACTTGAAGGGTGCCATCGCACCTAGGATTTACAGCTCTGCTTCCCTCATTTGTGCACTGCCCCTGGCGTGGACCTCTAAGAGGACACAAAAGGTGATTTTTGTGAGGCAAAGATAGAGCTGTTCAATTCAGATCAAGGGAAGGAAAACACATCCATTAGAGTTAGATAAAAGGACAACCCCAATGTCCTGGTTACTATAGGGTCCCAGGAACGATTGTGGGGTGTTCCTAGATTGGCACGATTTGCCCATCCTCAGCCTGGAATACAATATTCTGAGAGAAGGGAGGTATGCCTTCCTCTGTGTCCCTCTCAGCGGGCCTGCCCCATCCGTGCCCAAGGCAGACACAGGAACTTGTGCAGAGGCTGCATCACCCTTCACAGGACCCTGTGTGTCTTACAGACTATGATGCTGCGCTGACAGAGGCCGGCGATTACACAGAAAAGTATTTCATACTTCGAAAAATCCTTGGATCCATCTCAGGTACTCAGTAACCGTTTAAGTGGAGGGTGGTCCTCCTTATGTAGTGTCTGCATGCTGTGGAAGACCGAGAAAGACAGGAGCTTACTGCTGTTCTAGAGATCAAGGACAAACTGAAGTGTAAATCCTGGGTTTCTCACTTAAAATGTGTGTGGTTCTGAAGCAGCATTTCTAAGCCCTTGGATCTCAGTTGCTTCAATGAAACATGGAAATAGAAAGACACTTGTCTCTTTGATGTTTGTGTTGGCATAGATTATGTAACCTATTTTTAAAGCTCTCAATGCCATGTGTGACATAGTCACCCCTATGTAAGAGAATAAACCACCCTGCCAATTATTGCTTCTTCAAGCAGTGTTACTTAACCATCTACTACATCTAGGAACTAGGAAAGCCTGACAATGACTAAAAGCTCTCTGAGAGCCCTCACTGTGATGGCCCACATTAGCCCTCTGAGGGGTCTGTGTGTCCAGGTTTGTGCGGGTACAACACAACTCACTCATTACTGTCTGTTGCTCGTCACTCTTGGAGAAGCACATGAGTGTTTTAGGACAAGACTCGTGTCACTTGTGGGCTCTGGGATATGCTCAGACATAGCAGGGGTGAGGAGTTAAAGAAGGCAGTGGTTGCTTCAAGCACTTCTCAAGCTGTGACCTGTTTTCATTGCAGAAATTCCCCTGCCGCCGCTACCTGACCCTACTCCTAAATCCGTGTATCCTGATGTGAGTCTGTTCCACTACTTGCCACTGTGGGAAGTCCTACAGTACCTACATGCAGTGAGTACAACTTGGGAATGGGAGTAGGCGTGGTCACTGAGGAACTAGGCAGAAAGAATTGGATTCATGGAGTAGAGATTCCTTCAAATATCTTTGTTTCAGGAAGTGTGAAAACCAGTCCTCTGAGGCCAGCGTGCTGGTGCAGGCAATTTCATCTCTGCCTGCAATGCCATGTTGGAATGTCAGTTTCAGTCCGGGTGGTTCTGGTTCTGACCCAGGTCTCTGCTTACGTGCCTGGGAAAGCAGTGGAAGATGGCCTAGGTGCTTGAACCCCTGCCATGTATGTGGGAGACCAGGATGGAGTTCTGGGCTCCTGGCTTTTGCTGCGCTCAGCCTTGGCCATTTGAGGCTATTCTGGGTTGTGAATCAGAAAGTGAAGATCTCTTTTTCTCTGTTTCTTCCTCTCTGCCTTTCAAATAAATAAAATTAATCTTTTAAAAAACTCCTCTAAATTTTGTCCAAACTTGGAACAATGTTCAAGAAACATCAGCTACTTCTGTGAGAACTGTGAGGGAACTTGAAGAAAAATGTGTAGGAAGGGGGTATCTGGATAGTGGAGAATCCTGCTTCGTGACCCAGAAGAACCTGTCTGGTGGGTGCTGTTGGCTGTGGCTGTGTAATCTATGTGGGATCCGCATAAGGAAAGCCCTGAAATTGCTATTTTTGAGTCAAAGATCCTGAGCATGTGTGTGTTCATGTACCAACAACTAGGCCAAGTCACTGAACTTCTGTGGGTCTCCACTCACACATTAAAATTACACAATCTGTCTTACTTTGAAGAACATGTGAAATCTCCTAAACCAGCTTCTGAAATCAAAATGGTTTCTGTTCTGCTATGAGTCTTTGGATAACATGCAGCGATGAGCACATTGAGATTACTTTCCTGGTGCATAATTCCTTGTCTCAACCTTATACTGTTTTTAAGCTTTATTTCGTCTCTGCCTGCAATGCCATATTGGAATGTCAGTTTCAGTCCAGGTGGTTCTGGTTCTGATCCAGGTCTCTGCTTATGTGCCTGGGAAAGCAGTGGAAGACGGCCTAGGTGCTTGAACCCCTGCCATGTATGTAGGAGACCTTCAGCTTTGTACTCCCATTCACAATTGCCTTGGCTTTTGTTTAATGGGATTATTCTTCCTACTATGGAAAATGACCTTGGGATTTTGATAGAGATTGCATTGAATATATTTATTACTTTGGATAAATGTACATTCTAAGAATATTCATTCTTTAAATTAATGAAAGTGAGATATATTTCTGTTTTTGTCTTTATTTCCATTTAATTTTAGTGTGCGATTTTTATCGAACAGTTTCTTCTGTTTGATTAAATTAATTTCTATATATTTCATTTTTTATTCTGTATCTATTGTATTGCAGAAAGGATTATTATTTTCATTCATTTTTAGATACTTTGTTTTCACTGTATAGAAATCCTCCTGAATTTTTCATTTGGTTTTCATTTAGTGTTTTATCGTCTAACTTCAGCAAATCTGCTAGAAGCTATAATACTTATTTGGTGACATTTCACATTTTTCATATATGAAGCCTTGTCATGTGAAAACAGAAAATTTCACTCCACCTTTCGCAGGTAGTTGCTCTCTGTTTCTGTCTCTGGTCTTTTGTTATGTCTGAGACTTCCAATGCTATATTGAATAATAATGGTGGAAGTGAACTTCAATGGTTTCTTCTTGATCTCAGAGGAACCACTGTTTTCCTCATTCCATAAGATCTTAGTAGCTGGTATGTGGTAATAGCCTTTAGTGGGTAGAGATACATTCATCTTATATCTATTTTTTCAATTCTTTATCATGAAAAGGTAATGAATTGTATCATTTTCTGCATATATTTAGATGATAATATGGTTTAGGTGCTTCATTCTAATGAGGTTGTATTCTGTTTATTATACCATGTGTATTGAAATATCCTTACACACCTAAGATACTTGCTATTGATAATGTAGTATAATATACGATTGGATCTGATTTTTATATTTTAAAAATATTTTATTTGAGAGGTAGAGTTACAGACAGAGAGAGGGAGAGACAGAGAGAAAGGTCTTCCATTCGCTGGTTCACTCTTCACATGGCTACAATGGTCGGAGCTGAGCCAATCCAAATAAGGAGTTAGGAGCTTATTCTCAGTTTCCCATGCGGGTGCACGGCACAAACACTAGGGTCAACTTAAGCTGATTTCCCAGGCCATGCAGAGAGCTTGATCAGAAGTGGAGCAATTGAGACTCAAACTGGTGCTCATAGGGGATTCTGGTGCTGCAGGCAGAGCTTAGCCCACTATGCCTCGGTGCTGGCCCCTGATTTTCTATTTTTTAAAAAAATATATTTATTTACTTACTTGAGAGAGAAGGATGAGGAGAGAGAAATAAAAAAAAAAAAAAACTTCCCATACACTGGTACACTACTCAGTTGCCTGCAATGTCTGGGACTGGGCCAGCCTGAAGGAAGAACCTGCCGTGTCTCCAACATGGTTGGATTGACCGATTACTTCAGTCATATAATGACACCACCCAGGGTGTGCAATTACCAGGAAGCTAGATTTAATAGTGTAGAACTTGAAAACAGGCGATTCAATACAGGATAAAGATACCTCAACCAGCAACTCAACTGCTAATCCAAAAGCCCACTCCATGAGCATTTTTTCTATCATCTGTTCATTAGAAACTTTTTTCTACAGTTTTCTTGTTTTATTTTTGCCTAGTTTTATAAGATAGTATGCAACGATTATAAATGAAACTTGGAAGAATTTCCATCCTTCCAATCCATTGTAATAGTTTAAGAAGAATTGGACTTTGTTTCTCTTTAAAGTTTCTGTGAAGTTCATCAGTGAAGCCATTCAGTTCCGGGTTTTACTTTTTTGGAAGAATTTGTATTAGTGATTCTTGTTATTCATGGCCTCAAGTTTTCCTAGTCTTGTGTTCAACTTTTGTAGTTTGCACATAGCCATAAACATCCATTTCTTCTAGGTTTTTGACTTCACTGGCAGATAGTTGTTCACAACAGTCTATAATAATCTTTTGGTTTCTGTAGGGTCAGTTGATTTAATTTATTTGAGGCTCTTCTTTTTTCTTAGTCTAATAAAAGCTTTGTTGATTTCACTTAACTTTACAAAAAATTCTTCATTTTATTCTTCGAAATTTTTTAGTCTCTATTTCATTCATTTATGTCTTGAAATTTAGTTTTTTTCTCATAGTAATTTTGGGTTTTGTAACTGACACTATGAGAAGCAATGACTTAATCAGCCCTTGTCTTGACTGTTGAGGAATAGCTTATTATTTTATTCTTTTTAGTATTTTCTTTTCCTACTTAATACTTGAACTCTTAACTTAGGTGTTTTAACTTTATTTAGGTGTATAACTATTTAGGTTTTAACTTTATTTAGGTGTTTTAACTTTATCCACTTAAAAATTTATCCCTATTAAAAATAAGAGTGAGAATAAGAGAGGGAGGAGATATACAGTTTGGCACATGTTCCCTTGGATTTACCCCTAAGGGTAAAGCTAGAAAGACTCCAAATCCCATTAAGTTGGAAGGTACCAATGCCATCTTACTAGTTAGTGTGATCAGTTTAAGTTCACAATTGATCATAAAGATAGGATTAAGTGTCAAAGGGATCACATAAATAAGACCAAGTATCTGCTAATAATAATTGATAGAATTAAAAAGGAGAGAACAATCCAACATGGGAAGCAAGACACACAGCAGACTCATAGAATGACAAATGCCGTAAACAGCACTCTGACCTCAGAACTAACCCTTAATGCATTCAGATCTGGCTAAAAAGCCCATGAGAGCATTTCAGGCATGGAAAGCCAAGACACTGTGGCAAAAATACCTACATGAAAGATCTCTGTGAGTGAGATCCCAGCAGAAAGAACAGGCCATCAAAGAAGGAGGTACCTTGCTCTGAAGGGAGAAGAGAACTTCCACTTTGGTTATGGCCTTGTCTAAATAATGTCAGAGTTTGTGGACTCAAGAGGCTTCCATAGCCTTGGAAGATCATGACAAGGGCTCAGGTGATCACTGACATCATAAATAAGAGTGTCATTGTTAGTCAACAATAGAAGTCACTGTGCACTTGCTTTCCATGTAGGATCTCTGTCCTTAATGTGTTGTACTATAAAAATAACAGT